CCCCGAACTCGCCGCCCCCCCAGCCCCAGCGTGGTGCAGCACTCCCAGGGAACGCGGGGATGATTCATCTTGGCGATTTCTTCCTCCTCCTCACGGAGGGCTCGAAGGCTCCGCGACAAGCCGCTGCAGAGTGATTCATCGGTGTTGGGGGGGCTCAGTGCCACCCCCAGAGTGGGCAGGGTGCTGCCTGCACCCCCGGTGCAGGTCAGGGATGGCAGAGCAGTGGTCTGCATCCTGGCTAGCAGGCGTGGGGCCATCCCAGCACACAGACCAGTCGGGACTGGTGGTGCACCGCTCTGGGCACCGCTCTCCTCTCCGGTTCTTTCTCCCCGTGTCCCAGCCGGCACGGGGAAGGCTGATGGGCTCCGGCCCTCCCTGCTCCTCCGACGGGCAGCGAGAGCCGCTCTGAGCCTCTGCCGTGGCAGGGAAGAGCTTCCGCCAAAACCCGGTGTTCTGAGACAAAAATCCTTTTGGCTCTAGGCTGAGAGCACCTTGTTTTCAGAGCCTCTAAATTTGGATCCTCACCATTCATGGAGCCTCTGGGATATTTCTGCTTGTGCCTGAGGCAGATGCGTCCCAGCTCCGCCACCGAGCCCAGCACCTTTCTGGGACACGAGTGTCACTTTTGGAAGCCTTATGTAATTTCAAGTGTCTCTCAGATTACTACATAGTGACATATTTTTGTCTCCTTTTGATGCCATTGCTCATTTGACTGCAGCTTTTCACATCCTGCCATTTCTCAAATTCCCCCCCCAGCACCTCGGCATGGGAATACCGGGGTTTGGTTTATGATCTCCATCTTGTTTAAAAGACTCAGTCTTTTTCTCCCCCATTAATTTTACCGTGGGATCCATTTGCCTTTGACCAGTGGTCCCCCCGCGTACCTGGGGGGGTGTGTTGCAGGGTCTGCCCTGCTGCCCTTGGGGCCCCCCTCACTTCTGCAGAGGAGCTGCGGGAGGATCGGGCCCGCAGTGACCTGGCACCAGGCACAGCCGTGTCCCAGACTGCCGTGACAGCGTGAGAAATGGGGTTAGGAGGAGCCGGGCCCTGCACGGCCCCGGCCCCGCGGGCTGCTGCGGGCCAGAGCCCCAGGAGAGCCGTGGGGTGGCCCCGAGCCACGGGTGCCTCCGTGGGGCAGAG